AATTATTTCTGATTTCATTTTTCCCAGATCCTCTTTTGTTGCCAGTTCAGGGAGTCCAGGTGGTTGAGTATCAGAGTGTTCCATCTCATTTCCCTTTGTGGTTGCTGTAGGTGATCTGGAAGTCTGGTTCTGAGGCTTGTTTATGTGTCTTCTCATTTCAATGGGTGGGGGCTGCTGGTGGTGCCCACATGGCTCACCTTCTCTGCACTGGGAGCTGTAGCATGCCTACTCAGAAGCCTCCTCTGCACTGGGAGCTGTGGCTCATTCACCTGGAAGCCTCCTTTGCACTGGGAGCTGTGGCTCATTCACCTGGAAGCCTCCTCTGCACTGGGAGCTGTGGCACACCTACCCGGAAGCCTCCTCTGTACTGGAAGCTGTGGCCCATTGACCCAGAAGCCTCCTCTGTGCTGGGAGCTGTGGCTCGTTGACCTGGAAGCCTCATCTGCACTGGGAGCTGTGGCACGCCTACCTGGAAACCTCTTCTGTACTGGGAGCTGTGGCTCATTGACCCGGTAGCCTCTTCTGTACTGGGAGCTCTGGCTCATTGACCCAGAAGCCTCCTCTGGGCTGGGAGCTGTGCCACGCCTACCTGGAAGCCTCCTCCGTGGTGGGAGCTGTGGCTCATTGACCCAGAAGCCTGTCAATATTTAATACATAATTTTATGTATATTCATAAATGGTCTTGGCCCTTAATCAATCAAGCATTCTTCCTTGCTTCCTTCCTTCCTTTTTTTGTGGTACTGGGGATTGAACCCAGAGCCTTCACACTCAGCTACATCCTTGGCCCTTTTAAAATTTTTTATTCTGACATAGTGTTTCACAAAGTTGTCCAGGCTGCCCTCAAACTTGTGAGCTTCCTGCCTCAGCCTCCCAGAATACTGGGATTATAGGTATGTACTACCATGCCTGGATTCCTTTCTTATGCAGTCATTAACTGGCTTGAAGCCATGTTATTAAACATAGAATTATTATAGTCTTCTAGTGAATTCAATCTTTACTATTGTCCAATATGATACTGTCTTTTAACTGGCAAATTTAGTCCACTTATATTTATTATAATTACTAATACATCTATCTTGCCTTTCCTGTTTTTTGTCTTCTTTTAGTATTATTTTTGGATTGACTGTTTTCCCCTTTGTTCCTTGCCTTAGTCTGTTTTATGTTGTTACTCTGGACTTGGTAACTTACAAAGAAAATGGGTTTATTTAGCTCACTGTTCCAGAAGTTCAAGAGCATTATATTAGCATCTGCTTGGCACTTGGTGAGGGCCTTCTTGCTGGGTCATGACATGGTGGGGAGGTCTTTTTTTCACTTCATAGGAAGCCACAGTTCTACTGGATCAGAGCTCCATACTTATGGCCTCATTTAACCTTAATCACTTATCAAAAGTCCTACATCCAAATACCATAGTTATGTGAAGTATCTATTTATTTATTGCCTCACAATAGGAATTAAATTTCAACATAGGTTTAGAAGGTATCTTCAAACCATCCCCTTCTAGTGATTTTTACCATACATATTTAATGTGGCCCTAAATTTAATTAATATTGCTACTCCTCTTTTGGAAAGTATAAGCACCTTAGAAATCTCTAAGGGTAATAGTCATGTATCTAGTTGCATGATATTTTCGTCTAGTATTTTACCTCTATGTTGAATTATTTTAAAAGCACATAATAGATATTGTTGTCTTACAGAGTCATTATTGGTTTAGATCTACCTACCTGTTTCCATGTTTGCTTGCCACTTCTTGCATTTCAGCCCTTATTCTTGATGTCTATTTTCTCTTTCCTGAAAGTACATCCTTTAGAAATTTCTTTGATAAAGGTGTATCATTGGTAAACTGTGTTTTTGTTCATTTGAAAAATGTTTCTATTCCATCCTCATTCTTGAAAGATAATTTTAGGATATAGAATTCCATACTGAGTCCCCTCTCCCCCAATATTTTCTGGCTTCTATTAATCTAATTGCATTATCTGTCTCTTCTCTCCTGATGTTCTGAAGATCTCTTTGTCTTGGCATTCAGATGCTTCTCTTCAATATGTCTGTGTGGATATTTATTTCCATCTGCCTTTAACCAGGCTCTGAGTAACTAATTCTCAGGGAGGGGCTATTATTAGTTTCTGTCTGGAGCAAAGGCAGAGAAAACAGGCTTCCTTTGAAGATTTCTTCTAGCTACACTTTGGATGAGAAAGCAGCTCCATGAAGAGTTCCTGTTTATTCAAGTGTTCCCAGTTTAGATACTGAAGTTTGCAAGTCCCATGTCCTGATCTTCTGCCTCCTCACATGGCTGTTAATTTCCTGCTCTTTAAGTGCTTGATATTGTCTTTGTTTTCAGGGGAGTACAAATTTTTATAATTCATATTTTCTGAGTTTCTGTTCATTCTAAATCTATAGCTTCTTTGTAAAGCCCGGGCAGCTCAGCAATGTACAGTGTATAGAAGTACATTTCCTATTCTTTATCTAGCATATAGGTATTATGCAGTGGTAAGAGCTTTTTATCACTTCTCGGCCTTTTGGCTAAGATCAAGTGTGGTAAGAGCTTTTCAGACTACCTACTTTTCTGACATAATTAGTTTAGAAGCAGAACTTTTGCCAAATATTTAAAAGCACTTATTATACTTAAACTTTTGCTATTTTTAAGTGTTGTTATATGGTTAGAACCATATGTTCAGGGGAACCAGAAGGGGTAAGAAGACACACCAAGCTTTCAGAATTTTGCAGTCTTGTCAAAAGACAAAACCAGTACACAGGTAACAATTACAGAACAATTCAAGAATAAACTAGGGGGATGTAACTGCAGAATTTATTCAGAGAAAAGAAAGACTTGTAAATAAGCTGTTGGTAATTAGACTTTTCTGTGTTCCCAGATTACCTTGCATGGTTCCAATACAACTTTGCCTAAAACTAGCTATATTACTGAATATGTGGTCACATAGAATCTTTAGCATCAATGATGGATCCTAGTGGTCCTCAGCCATAAATAGAAATTCTGAAATTTTTTATTAATGGATAAAAAGACACACATTGAAATTAGGGCCAAGAGCATTTTTATCTCTGGTTCTGTCACTAACTGTGCAAACTTGCGTACTTCATTCTCCTTTCTGGCCTTCAGCTTTCCTATCTGTTGAATGAATGTAGGGCTGTGTTATGTTAATTACCAATACATTTGTAAAATGTTGAAGGGAGTTGTTACCTATGGTTGTGCCAGCATTTATCTTCAGAGAAGAGTATTTCTCTGGGAGTTTGAAGGGGTGCACACTTGCTTCCTCCATCTTAGCTCCCCTCCCCTTGGTGCTTCTTACAAGCTAAGGTTCATGCTTATGGTCAGATAACGAATATTAGGTGAGTTCTCAGAGATATGTGGGTACTTGTAAGGGCAACAATTCAAATTAAGGAAGTGATAGTTAATTGTAGCCACTGTGAACAATTAACAATGGAAAATATCCATTATGGCATTGGTTAGTCAAAATGCTTGACTTGTGAGAGTGTCAGAATAATTTTCAAGTTTAAAAGAAAGTAAAGCTTGAAATTGGGTAATGTGAGTAGTCAAAATTTCTCTGTTGAGAGAAGAATCTATGGTGTGCCAGGAACATTTGTTTGAACAGCCATAATATGGGTGGTCTGGGCCCAGTAGACTTTTGTGTTCTAAATCTATGACTTCAGAATGTGAGTAGTAATGGGAAAAGAGATGGAGGTGGAGGGAGGTTTGAGTGAGGATCAGGTTTAGAAGAAGGCAGTATTTTTGTATTAAATTCCAGATATTAACTAGCTTTCATGTGATTTACCTTCTTTCTACAAGAGAATTAGAGGGAATTAATTTGGTACTCTAGCTCATTTGGCTCAGATTAAGATTTTATGTTGTGCATAAGAAAATGTGTTCATCCTCCTATATATAAGGAGTTATATAGAGAGGAAAAAGTCTGAGATTTGAATAACTTGGAGGATGGATGACACCTGCTTTGGAAGATTTCTTGGAGGAGTTATTTCTTCATATAAGATCTACTGAGCTAGGTAATGGAAATGCCATTCCTTAAGGGTCCTAACACAGATGTCCTTTCCTATGGGACTGAGCACTGTAAGCAGGTCCCACCAGGAGACCCAATGCAGAAGATACCTGTATGTGCCCTCCCAGGTGGTGATTCTATGCCCCTTCACTGGCATTCAGCAGACCTTCCCCTGCAGCAACTGGCTGGATGAGAAGAAAATGGATGGGCTGATCGAGAGGCAGCTCTATGAGATGGTATCTCTGAGGAAGAAGCGGCTGAAAAGTAAGTACAAGGGACCCAGAAACTGGGGGCCCCTTGAACAGGTCAGCAAAGCTAGGATGTCAGATCCTGGGAGAAAAGTAGGATCTTTCCACTCCCACTTTCCAATTCTCCTTCAGAAAGAAGGGGAAAGAACCTTCCAGGGAACTCAGTTCTCTAAAGTACAGCCACACACAGTTGCACAGCTGGCAGAAAGGCTGACTCCCCTGTTTCCAAACTGAAGAAGCTGCTGTGATGAACTGGGGAGTAAACAGAGTGATTCACTAAAGTGCATTCCGAACATACCGGACATAGAGTGCATGGAGTCAATGCTTTACTGCATTTAAAATATTAATTGGCTGTAGCCATTAAATAGAACATCAAGGCACCCTAGTTTGAATATAAAGGAATCCTTAGCTTTCTGTTTGGCACTTTATAATGGGTTTCTGAGAGGGGGACACGTGTATAACCTGCCCTTCAGTCCTGTTCCCTCTTCACTGTTTCCACTGATAACAGGAAAATCTATTCACTTCTTGAATTTTATCTTGCAACTTGCCTTGTCTTATAGAATTTCCTTGGTCTCTGTGGGTCTGGACGACTGACCTGAAGAAAGCTGGTACTAACTCTCCCATCTTCATCCAGATTTATGGGCAGAAGGGTCGGACAGATGAGATTCTCCTGAATCCCAACAACAAGTGGTTCAAACCAGGCGTAATCGAGAAGTTCAGGGTAGGAGAAAAACATGACGGGGTGGGAGGGAGAAAGGAGGGAGGGATGTAGCGGGTATTTGTTATGGGGATTCTGGTTTCCTAAGCCAGGGTTTGGACCAAGTTTGAAGACAAAAAGGTATAATGGAGATGTTAGGCTCCCACATGGAGGACAACTTTGATGATTTATACAGAATGTATTGAAGGGGATGCGATCTAGACCTGGATCTTCATCTGAAATGAATAGTCCAGAACCAAGCCTGAGGGAAGAAGCCAGTGGATAATGGTTTCAGACCTCCAGGAGGGGCCTCTGTGAGCCTCAGAGACCCTGGGCACAGGTCCTGTTAGAATGCCTGATCTGGACTGAATTAGAGAATAAGGACCAAATTTTAGGGAAAGTATTAATTTTAGAGCATTTGAAAGAAATTCAGCTTTAAGACTTTCCAGTGTGTATATATAACTAGAGCAGGCCTTTTTTCCCATAGACGTGCTGCTTTGACCTTTAGGTAAGAATATTTGGTAATGTGCTGCCACCTTCTCAGAGCACCCCATTGGCCCTCTGTTCTACCCCTCAGTTCATTGCTCTTTATGTATTTGTCTTCCCAGCCAGATCTGAGCCCCCAGAGAAAGGCCATGGCTGCTGTATTGATCTTTTTGTCTGTTTCAGTGCCCAGCAGAGTCCTGGGGCTGTGGGCCTGTGCTAATTTTCAGGGCTGTCATGCATATTTTGTTACTGGAAGTTTATTGCTTGGAAGATCTTCTCCAGGTCAGTTATTTTTGTTCAGTTTTGCCAGCCCAGACTGAACCCTAGCTGCACATGGCTCCCTTGCCCCTATGTTCCATTGGTGGTCAGGAACATGAGAAAATGCAGTGTGTGAGGGTGGCTTCAGGCAAACCCATCCTTAAGATGAAGAAACAATCCAACCTAGGCAGCCTCCTGGCTGTGTCAGGTGTGAGAGTAAATGTGTTTCCCTGGTTATGCTCATTCAGACCTTTTTATTTCTCATCATAGATTGAGCTCCCAGATCTGGGCAGATTTTATAAGATTCGAGCATGGCATGATAGAAGGAATCCTGGTTCTGGATGGCATTTAGAAAGGGTGAGATGTGCACCCATGGGAATTGGGAGAGGACCAGAATTGTCCTTCTTAATGATTGTGTCACATAAATTTACTTTGTATTTATTGGGAATGGGAGTGAGGAGGGCTGGATATGACCTATAGATCCTTCCTGATGGGGAGAAGCCTTCCAAAATCGACTGAGGAAGGTACTCAGGTGTTCATGGGGCTTAATTCTGCCCTAGTTACCTAGGTGCTAGGCAAGTGCAGGTCTCTAGGAGATTGGGGGAAGAACTATTAATCTGGGCTTCTGCCTTCCACAAGGGTCATCTCCAGAATGAACTCCCTGGAGATGAGCTAGCAGAATGGGGGCTGCAGGGCATGGCTCAAGAACTCTAGTACACTCACCTGCATTTCAGATGACCCTGATGAACACCCTGAATAAGGACAAATATAACTTCAATTGCAACCGCTGGCTGGATGCCAATGAGGATGACAATGAGATCGTGAGGGAAATGACTGCAGAGGGCCCAACAGTGCGGAGGATAATGAGCAGTGAGTACCAACTAGCTTTCCATCCTGTGGGAGGTAGTGGAACTCCTATTTCGTGTGGCCACGGGGCCTGGCCCATGAGCCATACATCATCAGGCCTCCTCCAAGTGCCAAGTAGATCCGGAAGGCCCCAGCCTCAAGACTGGCTTGAGGGAACACCCCCCAAGACATTAAGCTAGCACTCTACCATAAAGGAGGTGTTGGGGAGGGATAGAGATTTATGGGCCTCCAGACTGTCCATGAGAGGATGAGAAGGATGCACACTAAATGATGGTTCTCTGGAGCTCCTTGAAATTAAAGGAAATATCTTTTTGACCCACCAAATTATAAAATTTGGAAACTGCTCCCTCATAAGGAAGACTGGATCTGGGTTTTTGTAGCCACACTTGGTTTTCACCTAATGAGTCCTCTGTCTCTATGTTAGGCTGGCAGGAGAAGGGGTGATCTGGAGTCCAACATTCACATTTGAAGAGCCAAAAGAGGTCATTTTGCTTCTAGGTTATAGTAGCATAGTGTTTGAAAGTACATAACGTATGTACCATTCTTTCCCATGGCAGAAATTAAGTGATCACAACATTCTCTCTCACTGAATCTGAAATAAGTTTTGTAACCCTCAATATTGCACTGCAATAGACATTACCAGTTGACTGAAATTGGCACTTAAGATAATTAACCTGTTCGCTATACTCATGAAAGTACTTAATTTTTGCAATAATAAAGAAATATTGCAAAACCAGAAAAAGTTAAGGATGTGTAGAAAATGATGTCACCCATGGTTCTAGTAATCCCACTAAATATTTCAATAATGTCAATTTACTGTTTAATCATGTGATACTTATAAGTGCAGTATTTTGCATGTGGACACCCTATAGAAGCTCTCTCTCTCTCTCCATATATATATATATATATATATATCTGTTGAAATGAATTGATTAGAGTTAAATTACATAGCAAGTAGCAAGTATCTAAAATGAGTTATTAGGTAAACACCTAATCTGTTAGTCTATTTATCCAATGTTTGCAACTAGCACTATGTTTCCTCTATTTTATAGTTCATCTTCATTCATAATTAAATATATAACCATAAGATATTTCTATTCAAAGACCTGCCTACAATAGCCCAATGAAGAACTAAAGAAATTCTTGCCATAATAACACACTTCGTTACAGACAGAGTTAGACCTTGGTTAGAGAAGCAATTAGACCTTGAACATATCTTTTGTTTCTTGGCTCAGTATCTACCCTAAAACAGCTAAGACTGTCCTAAGACACCACCCTTTCCTTTTCACAGTCAACAATATTGACTTTGGAAACAAAGCTATCATCTCTCTGTAAAAATGGTAATATTATCTGACTCCTCTCTTTGGCAGAAATACACCTGTTCTTACCTGATCTGTACACTTGGTGTGCCAGAATTGTATGCAGGTATGAAAACTAAGAAGAGGGTCTTGGGACCTAATTGCTTTCTGAATTCTTCTAACCAATTCTCATGATTTTAGGTCCTTAGCCTGTGCTTCTAAAATTACTTGGTCCTTTCAATCCTGAGAGTTTTTGTAGGGCTGTGTCTCAAAATCTCCCAACCAAAAGCTTTGATCAATACTGTCTGATCTAGTAGGTCTAGTATTCTCAAATTTTAGGGTGCATTATCACCTGGAGGTCTAATTGAAACACAGATTGCTAGACCTTACTGCAGAGTCTCTAATAAAGCAGATCAGCATTGAGACCCCAGAATCTGCTTGTCTAACATGTTCCTGGGCAATGTCAGTGCTACCCTTTGGGGACCACACTTTTAGAACCTCTATGTTAATGTATGTACCACTTTTCTAAATGGTCTTCTTCTTCCAAAATCAATTTTGTATTGCTGTTTCCATACTTTTTCCCTCCTTCTAGCCTTTTTGGTGAAGCTTTTATTGTTTGATCAAAAATAAAAGTAACCTCTTGTTTATTTTTAGTGAGGTTTTTCTAAAGAGAGACCTACCATTTTTATCTAGAGTGTTCAGAATGTTCTTAACCTGCAATCCCTCTTTGCCTTGACTGAAGCATGACTTGCCCTAAGAACCTTGGGTTTCCTCCTCATAACCCTTGGGATCTAGTGAGGTGAGGGGCATTATTCTGTGCTTCCCAACTCTTACCATGGGTCCTCCTTTGAGACTCACACCCTCTCACAAAATGACCAGTGACCCCAGCTCAGTTCATCTTCTGTTGTCCTCTAGTCACTTCCCCTTCTTACTCAAGACAGTATGATGAGCCCCTTGGTTATTTTCTAGACACCAATCCGTGCCATAGTCCTAGGATAATGTATTAGCTCTTGAGGGCTGCCATAATAAATTACTGTTGCGTGAACTGGGTGGCTTAAATATAGAAATGTATTATTTCCTAGTCCTGGAAGCCAGTGTCCAAGATCAAGGAGTTGGCAGGCTTGGTTTCTATTGAGGCCTCTCTCATTGGCCTGCAGATGGTTGTTCTTGCTGTATCCTCACTTTGTTTTCCTTCTGGGTATGTACATGTCTAAGCCCTAGTCTCTTCTTCTAAGGACACCAGTCATAATCGATCAGGGCACCCATGTGACCTATATTTTCCTTAATTATCTCTTAAAGGCCCTGTCTCCAAACACAGTCACATTTTGAGGTATTGGAGGTTAGGATCTCAACATATGAATTTTAGATGTGAATCATAATTCAGCCCATAAAAGACAACATCTCTCAAAGCCTGGTCCAGTGCACATCTATATCAAAATCTCCTGGAATGTTTATTAAAATGCAGATTCCTGGGCCTAATCTCAGATATGCTGACTAAACTCTTTGAGGGTTATACCTGGTAACATGTACTTTATCAAGCATGCCTACTAATTTTTATGTCAATCTAAATTTAAGAGCTTTGGTCTGTTTCAGTGTCCATATGGAACCCCCACAACCACCAACAACATGCTGGTACTCATCCACAGTGTTGACATTTGCCCCCATCCCACTTACCAAGTCACACCTATCCCATCTAAACACCTCACTCAGGCTCATCTCACAAGCTGCCCCCACTGTGAGCGCCATACCCTCTGACAAAGCCCCTGCCCTTCCAGCCCTTTCGTTCCTCTGGTCCACTTCACTCCACCCTTGAAGTCCTCCCAGCTCCGTTCTCCCCACACTTCTGTTGGTCTCTTGATGGGTGTGACAGGCATGAATTTAAGGTGCAAACCTACAAACAGTTACCCAAGGGAGAAAATAGGAAGCCTGAAATCAGGCAGAGGATGAATATACTTGAGAGGAGCTGATACATTCAATAACTACCTTTGGCGGGTGGAACTGGCAGAGCATGGTGCATGAATGCTGTGGGAATAGCAGTTGTGAGAAACTTTGCAGATGAAGTAACATTGGAGCCAGGTCTTCTACCAAGGGCTTTGACAGGCAAGGAGAGATCATGGGAGGAAGATCATTTCTACAGGTCATATGCACGTTGTGCTTGTAACATTTGAAAAAGTGTGGAGTGTGGGGAAGTCATGGCTGTTATTCATTTTTGTCTTCCGTGATTCTATTAAAAAGCATTTCAATAAGAAAAAAACCCAAATTTTTTTAATTGGCCTGGATGCAAGAGCTGTCAGTCCTGGGTATAAGAGCAGTTTGATGCCTTTTCAGGGGCCTTGGCTATTCTTTAGAACTTGTACCAACTTAAATTTCTTTCTCCCCAAATACTTCTGTTGTGCTTTGAGCACACCCATGTCCTTACTCAGATCTCCTTTTCTGGTCTAGATGTTTCTTCAACGTCCTGCTTCCCCAGTGAGTACCAGTGTGTAATGAATAATGTGCACAGCTTCCTAGAGATCCATTAAGTAGAGAGTCTTGGATTCACATACGATGAATAAGTACCAATTTAAAATCAATTCTCTGAACTTGAAGTTGTGTGTCCTGCGTTTACTTACAAACTAATGGTCAGCCAAATCAACAACTAATGCCACATCTAGAAGCTGAGAGCCTTTGGAGAGTGATTGGATTGATTAACACAGATTGGGAGACAGACAAAACATATACCAGCTCACAATTTGTTTCCACCTTGCCTCTCCCTCAGGAGCTATGTGAGATAGTCAAATAAATGAAATCAGCATTCTCTGCTGTGATTACACACCACTGATGTGCGGGCAAGAGTCCATTGGACTTGAATGCTAAGCATTGTCACTTCTCATTAATCAGACTAAGCTGTAATTTTTAAATTAAAGTACAAGAGGCTCTGGTACTTACCCATCTGTTTAAAGTCTTTCACTGCTTATGTCTAGCAATATTATTATTTCTAATTGCCCATAGACTTCTTACCAGGAAGAGCTTCAGACCTCAGTGGCTGTTGGGCTCAGAGGGGCTCCTAAGAGAGTGACAACCCTTGAGGACATTCAACTGAACAGACCTTAGAGCTCCTGAGCCAAGAGAACTAGAATTCCCAGGCAAAGGGATGTCTAAATTCCCTCATCATTTGGCTTCTAGAAACTGCTTATTCATCACAGCTATAAAAGTACAACAGGCTTTCATCAAAATTCAGAGTGTGGTGAGGCCAGTGTTTAGGTTCTCAACTTCTCCTTTTTGTCTCATGTTTCCATTTTTCTGTTCTCATTCTGGTCAGTGCTGTTTATTCCTCCTATTGCTAATGCTACTACCACTGAAAGTACAACACAACGGGTCAACCTCACTTATACAAGGGCTGAAGATTTAGACCATAGAGCACTCGAATTTTAAAAAGAGTTGACTAGAGAATTTCAGGTGCTGTGGTTCTGTGGAGGCAAGGTTTGGAGCAGGAAACTTTTCCCTCAATAATAACTCAATGTTTCAGTGCCTACAAATACCAGCTCCAGTCAAGGCAAGCCTCTGTCTACAAGGATTCTTTACGTTTCTTTCTAACAAGAGCTTTTGTTACAAACACTGTATCTTCAATAGTCCATATGTCTAACTGTCAAATTTATTTTTCAGTTGTCTTTATATCTTCAAATAGGAATGTGTATGTTATTGAAACAATGATTTATATACTGA